AGCCTTGAGCTGAAGAGCTGAGGGACAGCGCCCAAGGCCCAGAGTTCAGGCCCCACGACCGGACCAAAAAAAAATCCAAATCAACCAAACTCAGTAAATATATGAATTAATAGGCTAATAACTGTCCATACAAGGATCATCTAAAGATCTGCTTGCCTTTTTTAAAAAAGCAATTACAAATGTTTATTACCAGCTCCTTGAGCATTCTTTAGTGCCAGGAATACTTTTGAATAATTTAATCTCAAGTCAGTTACTAGTCTATGAGAAAACTCCCTCTTCCTTGCTCATTTTGGGGCTTGCTGGGAAGGCTAGTAGAGACTCACTTTTCAAACTTATATTTCAGTATCTGTGGACTTCATGTTAATGGAGTTTAGGGTTGTATTTGGAGAAAGAACTGTCTCAAATGGCTTACATTTTTCAGATAATGATAGTTGAGTAATACATTTATTAGCATTTTAATAAGGCCTAGAAATTAGACAGCCGGAAGCAGGTTTGGCATTAAAAATGTCTAGAGTTCTGCTGGCCCCTCTTGTTTCTTCACATCATTTTCTTTTGAATTATTTCCCAGTTTCTTATAGCCTTTTCAAGAGGGTGGCATTTACAATTGCCGCCACCATTTAACAGTCTCTTCCACCCATCGTGGAATGGCAATTATTTCTGAGAGGAATTATTAAAAACGCAGCCTTTAATCAGGAAAAGAAGAGCACGGCTGAGAGCCGTGATGAGAGATGGCATCTCTATTAAGATTCCTGTAATTGTATAAGAGCAGTGGGACCTCCGAAGATTGCATGGAGACTGTGGAATCTGTGATTTCTGAATGTAGGGAGGGTTGCTGAAGCCAGAGCAGGGTCACATTCTGTGCTTCAAAATCTGACCAGGGCATGCCTGAACTTTTTGAAAAGGGCCATTCATTTCAAAGCAAGCTAGCATCCTGCTTCAATAATTCAAATTAGCTTCACACACTTCAGTGGCGTTATTTGGGCATTTTTCACAATTATTAGAGATAACTCACTTTTCTCTGTAGACTGTAGGGTGGAAAGCAAATTGAATCAATGGCTTCGCTCCATCTTCTCTATTGGATGAGCCACAAGTGAGTGGTCAAATGTGCACATGACCTTTCCGCTTAAGCTCAAAAACAAAAGCAACCTGTTGGGAAGACATTTGGCCAATCTGATTATTTTCTCTATACTAATTGGGTTTCCTTCTTCATTGAATTGAATGAATTGCCTGGCTGTTTTTGTCACCATGGGGCAGAACTTAATTTGCTTAGAATGAGCACTGTGCTTGGTGAATGAACAGGGCACAGAAAGTTACCATCTTGGTTATTTCCTGATAATTTTTCATGGGTGAAAAGTTTATCTGATTCCACCCACTTTCTCCATTTCTACTTCTATTGCCCTGGTGAAGTTATAGCTGGCTTCCAGTAGGGTTGTTTTGGTGTAGTGCTTGTGTAATTGATGGTATAGACTCTGTGACTGATGGTATAGTCAGCCTGTGACTGATGGTGGAGAGAACCTGTGACTGATGGTGTAGTCAGCCTGTGACTGATGGTGTAGAGAACCTGTGACTGATGGTGTAGTCAGCCTGTGACTGATGGTGTAGAGAACCTGTGACTGATGGTGTAGTCAGCCTGTGACTGATGGTGTAGAGAACCTGTGACTGATGGTGTAGTCAGCCTGTGACTGATGGTGTAGAGAGCCTGTGACTGATGGTGTAGTCAGCCTGTGACTGATGGTGTAGTCAGCCTGTGACTGATGGTGTAGAGAACCTGTGTCTGATGGTGTAGTCACCCTGTGACTGATGGTGTAGTCAGCCTGTGATTGATGGTGTAGAGAACCTGTGACTGATGGTGTAGTCAGCCTGTGATTGATGGTGTAGAGAACCTGTGACTGATGGTGTAGTGAGCCTGTGATTGATGGTGTAGAGAACCTGTGACCCATGGTGTAGAGAACCTGTGACTGATGGTATAGTCAGACTGTGACTGATGGTATAGTCAGCCTGTGACTGATGGTGTAGAGAACCTGTGACTGATGGTGTAGAGAGCCTGTGACCGATGGTGTAGAGAATCTGGGACTGATGGTGTAGTCAGCCTGTAACTGATGGTGTAGTCAGCCTGTGACTGATGGTGTAGAGAACCTGTGACTGATGGTGTAGTCAGCCTGTGACTGATGGTGTAGCCAGCCTGTGACCCATGGTGTAGAGATCCTGTTACTGATGGTGTAGTCAGCCTGTGACTGATGGTATAGCCAGCCTGTGACCCATGGTGTAGAGAACCTGTGACTGATGGTATAGTGAGCCTGTGACGCATGGTGTAGAGAGCCTGTGACTGATCCTTTTGTCAGCCTGTAACTGATGGTATAGAGAACCTGATGGTGTAGAGAACCTGTGACTGATGGTGTAGTCAGCCTGTGACTGATGGTGTAGTCAGCCTGTGACTGATGGTGTAGAGAGCCTGTGACTGATGGTGTAGTGAACCTGTGACTGATGGTGTAGTCAGCCTGTGACTGATGGTGTAGTCAGCCTGTGACTGATGGTGTAGTGAGTCTGTGACTGATGGTGTAGTCAGCCTGTGACTGATGGTGTAGAGAACCTGTGACTGATGGTGTAGTCAGCCTGTGACTGATGGTGTAGAGAACCTGTGACTGATGGTGTAGAGAACCTGTGACTGATGGTGTAGTCAGCCTGTGACTGATGGTGTAGAGAGCCTGTGACCCATGGTGTAGAGAACCTGTGACTGATCCTTTTGTCAGCCTGTGACTGATGGTATAGAGAACCTGATGGTGTAGAGAACCTGATGGTGTAGAGAACCTGTGACTGATGATGTAGTCAGCCTGTGATTGATGGTGTAGTCAGCCTGTGACTGATGGTGTAGAGAATCTGTGACTGATGGTGTAGAGAACCTGATGGTGTAGAGAACCTGTGACTGATGGTGTAGAGAGCTTGTGACTGATGGTGTAGAGAACCTGTGACTGATGGTGTAGTCAGCCTGTGACTGATGGTGTAGTGAGTCTGTGACTGATGGTGTAGTGAGTCTGTGACTGATGGTATAGTGAACCTGTGACTGATGGTGTAGAGAGCTTGTGACTGATGGTGAAGTGAGCCTGTGACTGATGGTGTAGAGAATTTATAATAGATGTTGTAGTGAACCTGTAACTGGCATTCTCCCCTCCACTGCCCGTTCTGTCCAAGTCATTCTCCAGGAAGTAGCCTTAACGATATAGACTCTGTTGAAAACTATGCCTTCTCTCCAAGAAGTGCATGGCAGAATTCAGCTCTTAACTCCAGTCCTGTTTCTTCCAAGATCCATGTGGAAAGAGCCCCCGCCTCATGATTTCTGCTGCCTTAATTTTCCCCTCACCCCTTTGCTTACAACCGACGCTCCTCCATGCTGGCCTTGCTCTAGTTTCTTAGCTCCTAAAGCTCCCTCCAGCCTCTGGGTCTCTGCTGTCACAATTCTTTCAGCTGGAGCATGTTTTCTGGACTGTCCTCCTCATTGGATGGTCTCATTTCTGAAACCACATTTTCTGAGGGGTCTCCCCTCCTGTTAAAGCAGGAAAAATAACACACACAAATTATTACATGCTTAAACCATGAGAGTTTTAGACTCTCAAGAGAGATATTTCTAAGGAAATGAAGTGAAATTTTAGACAATTGGAGAGGATGTTGAGGAACAATTTTACTAATGTCTGTAGAAAGCTAAGTAAAAGAAAAAAAAATATGACTCCCAGGAAAACAATTTGGCAAGAAAGGCAATGTACCCCTAGCACACTCATGGCCTACTGGTGAGAGGTGTGTTCCTAAGATAAAGTGAACTTTGAATAGTCACCTAAACAAGGCATGGTGTCAGGGTCACAAGACTGTTGCATGTGGGTGAGTGACAGTCAGCAAGGAAGGCAGTGGGGGAAGAGCTATGAGCCTTGGCCTCTGTTAGAATCCAGAGTCAAGGCCCAGGACTGAAACCAAACGGACAAGCAGTATTATACATACTCTAGTAGGAAGGAGGTAAATACCAACTGAATCCAAAGTGGGAAAGGCTGGTGGGCAGCGTGGCTGGACTTCTTCTTTTGTTTTTTTTTTTGTTTAGTCGTGGGGCCTGAACTTTGGGCCTGGACACTGTCCCTCAGCTCTTCAGCTCAAGGCTAGTGCTCTACCACTTGAGCCACAGCGCCACTTCCAGCTTTTTTCTTTTTGCTTATGTGGTGTCTCATGCATGCAAGGCAAGCACTCCACCACTGAACCACCTTCCCAGCCCCTGGACTTCTTAATAAATGGAAAGGGTTGACTTTTCCAAACTGTGTGTATGAGTAATGTTAATTTTAAAATAGAGCAAATTTATGAGTAGATTTGATGCTTTGTTCATTGACACAGACTGTCTAGAATGTTTGTCATAGTTTGGCTTGTGATAAAATCTACCCTTTCTGTGATGCTGGGGTCCTTTTGATCTGTTTCCTGTGTCCCTGTAAGGAAATCAAGAGGAGAATACGGGAGGGAAGAAAGGAAGGCAAAGGTGGCTATTTGTGGATGTAGTCAAGATCTCCTCTTAACTCTAAATTCCCTTATCCCTGCCAAGTGATGGCCACCACAGCAAAAAACAAAAAACAAACAAAAACAAAAACAAAAACAAATACCATCACAAATGCCAGCCTCTTTCCTTGCTGCCTAGAGCTCCAATGGAGACTATGACACCATCTACAGGGGGAAAATTTAAACTATGTAGAATTAACATAGACCAAGAAAATGACCTTCCTAAAATAAATGCCACCTGGCAGGTTACTTACAATATAGGTAATTTATGGACTGTTCTATTTGGGGGAATGGTTTTTGCCATTTCTTTCCTTAGTAGGCATCAAGGACAAGGTTGGAGGTAAATGGATTTCCTCTATACAATGTAAGAACTATTGTAAGAGAACGTGGAGTGGTCATGAAGACACAACCTCCGGCGACTTATTCTTGGTGCTTTTAATCATCCCAGATGTCCACAAATGTGTCCCCTCTTCCAGGTGTCAGTCTGCGAGGAGACCCATCTGATGCACAACTGTCCCTTGGTCATGGGAATGAAGAGAGGAAGGAAGAGGACTGTGGATTGTGCCCAGAAACCTTCACTCCTAGTGAAAGCTCAAGGCCCTCCCGGGAAATGGACAGAGTAAGGGGACAGGTGGGGATTAGAGGCGGTGAGCTGCCTCTCCCTGTCCAGTGTCTAGATTTGTGTTTCCTTTTCCTGTTGTCACTGTTCCTAGGCCAAAGTCTGTAGGATCACCTACTAGTGCTTCCTGGCATTGAAAAAATCCACTAGGTAAAAAAAAAAAAAACCAACCTGAAATATTTTGCCTTGAAAAACTAGGCAACTTTGGCTGTGAAACTGTTGGGATGATTTCTGATGGCTTATTGGAAATCTATAGCTATACGCTTGACGTGAAATCACTCCCAGGTGTGTGAGGTCATGTATTAAAAACCACGAAAACACCTGTTTAGACCATTCTTTGAAAAATGTGAATCTAGTAGACACCTCAATGCACAGCGCTGTATAATTATATCCTTGTTTTTTGAACAGAAGTAACTGAGAATAGAAAGCTTTGGATGGGTTGGATAATGGAGGTGTTTATTTCTAACAAAGTCAGATCAAAACACATAGCATGCTCAGCAACCTATTGTGTACCCATGAGGTGCTTCACTCAAGTTAATGTACCAATTAGTTATTCATAGAAATTTATTGATGGCACCCCATTGAAGTTCACTCTGGGTTAAGAATCATTGGGATCTCAAGACCTTGTTTTCATTGAAGATCACAGTTCTGACCACAGTTTTCTTTATACCAGTTAACCTTTCTCCCCTCCCTGTTTCTTTTCCTCTGTACTTTGTGGCAGGATACTTCTCTATCTACTGGTGAGCATGGTGACTGTTCTCATTTGGATGTAGCTGATGCTTCAGGATTATCTGTGCAACCGCCCACTGGCTCAACGCTGGGGAAGGCTGAGGCTTTGCTCCAGGATAAAGGTCTTGACTTTGTGCTGCTGCCATCCCAGGACCACGACGCCATAGATCCCAGACCATGCATTTCCTCAGATGCTCAAGCGTCTTCTTCCAGTGAGTGCAAAGGCACTGCTCCCTACCAAGCTATTGCTACCTCTGTGGCCGCTGCTTGTATTCCTCTGGGAGTTCAGGGTACAGATGTGCAAGCCCACCACCAAGCTGTAGAAGAGGCTCAGCCACAGAGCTCCCCGGATGGACGAGTGGCGGCAGAGGCCACAGCACTGACATCCTTGACAGAAACGCCTTTATCTGGACAAAAGGCTGTGGGGTTAGCTCTGCTGGGCTCACCTAGAAAGACACATCTTGAAATACCAGCTTCAGGACCAAGTTCAGCTAGTTCACCACAAGAGGAAGGGAGACACCAGACAGCTTTTCCTTCCAGTGCTCAGTACAGGGGTGGGGACACGGCCATCCCCTGCCCTGCTCTCGGTCTGGGCAGTGGGAAATGTCAACCACCAGGATTAATCTCGCTGAGGGGTAGTGAGGCTTCTCCTAGCCTGGGGCAGCCCTCAGAATTTCCCGAAGCACCTTCTCGATCCGTCAGGAAGAGGAGTTTGGAAGGAATGAGGAAGCAGACTCGGGTAGAGCTCAGTGACACCAGCAGTGATGATGAAGGCCGACTTGTCATAGAGATATGACACTTCCAAAGAAAGATGGCATCTAAGCCCAGGACTAGATAGCATTTACTAGTAAACGCGATCCATTTGACCAGAAGTACCAGACTTTATTAAAAACAAAAACAAACAAACAAACAAACCCTATAGCCAGGAAAGCCATTTGGGGTTCCTCTCAAGCCAACTCCAACTAAGACCAGACCCCAGTTGAGCCACGCCATTGTTCTGGGGCAGGTAGGTACAGCCTAGAGTGGCTCATGTGCACAGGGTCTAGGCCTTGACTCGTAGCTTCGGCCTCAGAGCCAGCCTGCAAGTCTGCTCACTTTTTCCTCACTCCCTTAGAATGGCCACCATCCTCTGTGGGCCTTCTGGTCTTTGAGGTCTGGTGGTCAGAGGGTTTCACAGAGTCCGGACAGCCAAGTTCTCCATTAGGAAGTTGAGAGTCTGCTATGAGGCAGCAAGCATCCCTGGGTAATGCGGAGAGCTTGCAAAAGAAGATAGGGCTGTGAATTACCATCCAGATACTTGTAGATTCATTCCAATACTGGTTTGGAAGTTGTACATATACTTCAACATGCCTATGGTCTGGCGAGGTACAGATACTTTTCCATGTTGCACAAATGGTCGATGCTCATTTATGGTCAAGCAACAGAAGCTCACCCTGCTCTTGTCCCTGGTGCCTTTACTGTAAGACCCCAAGACTGTTGATTTTTCTAGCTCTCTCAAAGGAACTCTGTGTTAAAAAGTCAACAGAACTGTCTCTCTGTAATGAGTCATTTTTCTGAGGGGGAAAAATTCACTTATTTTCCTCAGATTCTCTTTGTCATATTGTGCTCTGAGCAATTTCAATTAGAGGGTTACATTTTAGTAATCTGTGCAGCTTCAATTGATGCCTGCGCCTTGTGACGGGAGCCTTTTAGATTTCCTCCAGAAGCCTCAAGGATACAAAACTAATTGGAGTTTTGACGCTGTTTTACATCTCAGTAATTTTATTTTGGGGGCTTGGTGTTACTTTGCTGTCAAATTAAATCAGCCTCTGTATTGTGTAAGTCAGAATAGCACAGATAAAATTCCCCAGTATTCCAAGCCAGTGCGCCCTGTGCCGAGAAAGAAAAGATCGACGTCAGCCATCCCACGGACTAGAGCCTTCTCCCTCTCCTCAGATGCGAGAGGAAAAACTTAAAGAGGTTTACACTGCTGCATTTCAATAAAATTTTATACTTGCTTTTGGTACGATTTTGTACAATTTGAAATTTATAGCCGAGCACTTTTGGCTTAACTTTGATGTAATGATGTTCATATGACATCTTGCACTTTGCAGGCAAGAAAGCAATGCAGGGCACCTCACATGCACGAAAACACTTTAAGAAGGCTTTGCCTATGACTAAATATGGTCCGATTTCAAGCACCTTTGTAGGAATTTCCTCATTTTAGTCTTCTTCATACAAGCCGTCAATGCAAGCCCAGCTTTCCTTTAGCCCATGGTCATTTCCCCCACACCACTCCTTACCCATGGGATGACCAGCCCAGCCAAGAACACAAAGAGAGGGGAAAGGATGCTAGATGGTAGCAAACCAAACCAAAGCAGTACAAGGCTGATCTCCCCTGTTGAACCCCATCCAAGTCACGGTAATGGGAGAGGGGAGCTTTCTGAGCTCTGGAAGGAAAGAAACGAAGTCTTGGCTATGTGTTTAGCTGGAAAAGCTTGGGGGGCTCTCTCTCTGCACCTCAGTTTCTGTAAGTGAGAATGAGAGAGTTAGAGGAGGTGAGCCGACTGTGTTGCCAGCCTGCAATCCTGGCGGGAGCATGTGATCGAGGAGCACACTGCCTTTGCACACATGCGCTCTGTGGCTTGATCTTTTCCGTGGAAAGCCACGGTCCCGGGAGCCCTGCCTTCTATTCCCCAATAGAAGTGTGGCCAGGAACTCGAGGAACCGAAGCACAAATACCCCCAGTGAATTACTTGGAGGGACAACATGAACCTAGGGAAGCTCTGACTTCTCATCAGAGTTCTAGATTGCTTTCTGGAGGGATGCAATCACCCAGCTTAGAGTTTAAAGATGGAAAAAGTATATCCAGGATAGTGTGTGTGTGTGTGTGTGTGTGTGTGTGTGTGTGTGTGTGTGTAAGAAAACATTGGTAGGCAAAAGTAGCTACCTGTGAGACAAATTTTCCAGTTTTGGAGTTATTCATGGAAACCTTCAAATAAGACCATTTTCCACTGGCCAATGGAGAAAGATACCTTTCATGTCATTTGTTCCTGGCGGTCACCTGCTTGACTGACTGGGCCTGTGACAGCGAGTCCATAGCGTTGTATAGGCCTCCTTTCCTCTCACGTAGCCATCGCCCAGCTGACATGCAATATGGCGAGATGCTAAATCTGTCTTTTTGACTACCTGTGTCTCTTACAAAGGTAGACAGTTCACCAACCATCCCACGTCACCTCGTCATATAGCTAATGAGGAGCAGTGTTCCCAGGTGCACCTATCCTTATATCCACATGGAGTTGTGGAAAACTGTGTCCAGTGGATTTTGTTTTTTTAAATCAAAAATATATTTTGAATGATGCTGGAAGAGGTGGTTATTGAAAACTATCCTAATATCACAAATAATATTGTAATGTAGAACCTTTCCTCAAAGCAGCCATCTCTGATTTTTCTCAACCTTATTTTCTTACAGGTTTTTCTTAAAGTGAAATGCAATTATTGGGACACATTTTGTGGGTATCACTGGGAGCCTGCAATCCACCTTGGGTATTGAAAACAAAATGTCAGTGTTATCAATTGGTAACAGCTGCATCCTTATACATGATAAGTGCTTACCACATGCTGGTCCAGAAACAGATGTCTTTAAAGGAAGGGGATGTAGCTTAGTGGTAGGGCCCTTGTCTAGTATTCTCAAGGTCCCAGAATAGATATTTACTCCCCTTACCCCGAATGCTGTTAACTTCATTGTATCTTCAAGTAAGGGCCTATGCCCATTGGTGCCTTTGGCTTCTGGCATGAAGAACATGGCCAGGATGTTGTCTTAGACAGACACCTGGGATTCAGGGCAAGGTGTGCAAGTACCACAGCTCACGGTGCCTGGAGTTGCCTGGTGGTCCATTGTCTTAACATGTGTTCACCTATGCCTTGCTTCTAAGTTGTGTGGAGGAAGGAGGCCTCCCCTCCCTTCTTGTTTTTTGTTCTTCGACATTTATTTTTATCTTTAAGTAGTTGCACAAAGGAGCTGCCATTCAACACAGTCGTATATGAATACCACGAACCCTGGTTAATGTCGCCCTTTCTGTCATTCCCCTCTATCCCTCTCAACCTCACCCTGTCCCTCAAGTTCCTTAGTTCTGTAGAATGTGCAATGAATTTTATGATTGCAGTTCCACCCCGACTTCCTCTCCTCGTTTGTCTACATTTTTGGCCACATTAGCTACTCATTGACTCTTAACATTCAGTGGGGGCCGGTGGTCAGCTGGCTCCTTCTTGCTGTAAGGCATGACGAGGAACAGTTCACCTCTTCTGTTGCATGCAACCTTGGATTCTTGATTTAGCTAATACCCATTTGGCTCCCAACCCACAGTAACCAGAAGAACTTCTGGTTCATTTGCAGAGTGCGCACAAAAAGTCAGGGAAAGGTGTCTCTAGTATCGGTTGCCCACCAAGCTATTAAAACAGATGAGAATTTCCCTGCCTAAAATCCTCCTTTTAAGCCTCCCAAAAGTGCATTGTGACCACAGTCCTTGGCATGAAAGATAAACGATTTGCTGTCTCATGCCAAAAAGTATTTCCTTACATTTACATTCATTACTTAGAATGATCACATTATTCATTTTTTTCTCAGCATAGAAATTTGCATTTTGCACAAAATTTGCCTGGTGCAGCAGATTTTTATAGTTATGGAAACTGTCATCATGATGGGAATGTACTGCTACTCAACTCCCTAGACGTGATTTAATATAGGGAGGGGAAATGGGCTGCCAGGCTCCATAGGCGATCGTATTTCTACTTAGCACAGCCATGGGCCTCCTGGGTTTTTCTCCATTCCCGTTGTTACTCCCATAGTTCACAGGAAGGAACCACACTACGTTTCTTGATCCTTACACACAAGGATTTTTGTCCCAATCTTTCAAAACTCATTAAATGTAGGTTTCAGGATCTAGCAAATCTTGTGTGCTAAATTTCTACCCTGTAGGATTCTTCCAGCCATGCCATGTGATTTTGTAGTGATGTGCATAATTGGGTCTGGAGAAGTATAAGGATGTCTGAGCACATTGAGTCGCCACTGGAAGGAAGAGCCAGAGCACAGCTCCGTCCCGGCCACTTGGTTGACTCATTGGCTTACATATGCAACCATCAGGTCTCTTCTATTGGTTGGTCATGATCAGCCTAGAAGGGATTGGCTTCTTGGCTGTTCATTCAAATTTCTTTCCTTCTTTCTATGGTGAAATTATTTTGTTTTGATAAAAATAAAACTTTGACTGAACATGTCTTGTGTGATTGATTCACATTTTAACACACAGCGGTGGCAGAGGAGATTGTGATGGCTTGAACATGGGATGATTCCCAGCTTGTTGACTAGACACCCTGTCTGCCATGTTGGTCTCCCATTCTATTCAACAAAAGGAGTAGGTGACAGCAAGTTAGCACATATTCCAATACTGCCCCCCCACATGTGCCTCATTTGCCATTATGCACCCTAATTTATAGTTTGTACCTTAGAAATATGTTTTAATATCCTTAAATGTAGCTAAACTTTGAAGCCACAGGAGGGCACTCACCACAGAGCAATGATCCAGAACACCACCCCTCCGTGCCCCCTTCCCCCATGCCTGGAATTGATGTTTCTTGGATGTTTAATATTATTCATCAACAGAGAAAACATTCTTACATCAAAATTATTACGACTTACAAAGATAATTCCTTCTCTTTGCAAGAATAAGTAGACTTATTTTATAGCCCAACACAGTATTATCCTTCTGTGTATGTCTCTTGAAGACACTTGAAATCAAGGAAGCTTCAATGCATTGGGAGAAAAAGTGAGACTAGAAATTTGGAAGAAACAGATGGACTATTTCACAGCTCCTATCTACTTTCTTCCTAACTCTAACTCATCACATTCTACTAGCAATAAACAAATATCTTATTTCCAAACTTCAGTCATCTGAGAATCATCTCACTGCCATTTTTTTGCCACAGGTATCAACATGCCACATGTGGCTATATTATTAACTTCATACTTTTTGTTCAAATAATGTCTCTGATAAAAAAGAGATTATTGCTCTAAGCAGTAATATTGGTGAAATCTCAAATTGAATGTGCTACTTAGTTGCATTTCCTAATGCACATTAAAATACAATGAAGTATTAAAATTATTCATCCATTTCCCATTTAAATATTATCTTCAACCTCAGTGGTATGTTCACTGCATTGGGAAAACAATGAGCTTGTCTGAAAGGTACATAGACTGTTAAAATCTCTAGGTCTGGGTAAGCACAACTCTGTCTGCATTGTCTTTCTCCAAAACAGTGGGACTGATGACAAGTAGAATTGTAGGTTCCCTTAGAAATCACAGTTGAATAAGATTCCAAATCAAAGAATTGTCACATTATTTAATCTCAAAACAATAATTCTGTGTTGTCTTGTTGTGCTAATATGTTTTTGGTTTTATGTATTTCGTTGATTGCTTGGTAGGTTGGTTGGTTGATTGGATCTCTGCCTTTCTGTCTATCTGTCTGGTTGGTTGGGTGGGTGGGTGGGTAGTTGGCTGTCTGCCTATTTGTCTCTGTCTGGTTTGTTGGCTGGCTGGCTGATTGGCTTGTTGGTTGGTTAGCTGGCTGATTGGCTAGTAGATTGGTTGGTTAATTAAAAAAAAGCACATAAGGACTGTATAGGTATGTATTTTTGCACAAACACTACAGAAGGGCCTGTTTCCATACTTTTAACCGGGAGGAGTTGGATCTGTCTACATTAGCAGCAACAGAGAGCAACTTTCAAGTCTTCTGAGTGCTGACAGCTTGTTGATCTCTGGGCTGTGAATGGACAAAAACTTGCTCTGTGGAAACTGGGACCTTTGTCTCCAGTTGTGACAGATGTGTTTTTAGTTTCCTTCAGTTTCTGCCAGAGGCAAATTCAGTGCCTTTACCACTGGCTATCCTGGGACCAGTTCATGGCTACTTCAGCCCACAAGAAGGTAGATGACTCTTTCCTGTCAATGTGTGAGTGAATTAATTCCTACAGGGA